TACCCTACACCACTTTAGTGGGGAGGGTATATTGGGTTTGTGCTGATGTTTGTAACGCACAATAATATTGGTCCTATACCCACCTTAAAGTATACCAATCGGCTCAGAATCATTTTCTGAGTCGATTTAGCTATGTCCGTCCGTCTGTCCGTCCGTCCATGTAAACCTTGTAATCAAACTACAGGTCGCAATTTTGAAGATAATTCAATGAAATTTGGTACATGATCTTCTATTGTGCCAGGGACGAAGCCTATTGAAAATGGTTAAGATCGGTCCATTATTTCACCTAGCCCCCATACAACTGAACCCCCCAAAAGGGCTTGTAATCCTTGTAATCAAACTACAGGTCGCAATTTTTGGAGATAATTCAATGAAATTTGGCACATGATCTTTTATGGTATCGTAAACGAAGCCTATTGAAAATGGTTAACATCGGTCCATTATTTCACCTAGCCCCCATACAACTGAACCCCTCGAATAGGGCTTTTAAAATTTGTAATCAAACTACAGGTCGCAATTTTGGAGATAATTCAATAAAATTTGGCACATGATCTTTTATGGTATCGTAGACGAAGCCTATTGAAAATGGTTAACATCGGTCCATTATTTCACCTAGCCCCCATACAACTGAACCCCCGAATAGGGCTTTTAAAACTTGTAATCAAACTACAGGTCGCAATTTTGGAGATAATTCAATGAAATTTGGCACATGATCTTTTATGGTACCGTAGACGAAGCCTATTGAAAATGGTTACCATCGGTCCATTATTTCACCTAGCCCCCATACAACTGAAACCCCCGAATAGGGCTTTTAAAAGTTGTAATCAAACTAAAAGTCACAATTTTGGAGATAATTCAATGAAATTTTGCACATGATCTTTTATGGTACCGTAGACGAAGCCTATTGAAAATGGTTACCATCGGTCCATTATTTCACCTAGCCCCCATACAACTGAACCCCCGAATAGGGCTTTTAAAAGTTGTAATCAAACTGCAGGTCGCAATTTTGGAGATAATTCAATGAAATTTGATATTTTGGTACCGTAGATGAAGTCTGTTGAAAATGGTTTACATCGGTCCATTATTTCACCTAGCCCCCATACAACTGAACCCGCCGAATAGGGCTTTTAAGTTCATAATTATGTTTAATATACTCATATCTCGACAAAAAGCTGCAATAACCAAGTTGTATACAAGACTTGATGACCCCCACGAATTCCATAATAATAGGTTCTCATATGACCCTAGCCCCTATGAAAAGCCCCCATCAAAATTTCACTTAAATGTCCACAATTTTATTCAACAATAAACGGCTTAAGTATGTAAATCTAATGCAAGGTACAATTCAACTTAAATGCTTTATTATGGCAACTAAATCACATTATATTTTTGTCAAAGGTGTAGGGTATTATATAGTCGGCGTCGCCCGACTATAATTTCTTACTTGTTTTTAAATGTGTTATATAAATAAAAGGTTCTCAATTTCATTTGAAATTTTCTTAATTTCATTTAAAATTTTCTCAATTTCATTTGAAACTTTCCCAATTTTAATTGGAGTTTTCTCAATTTAAATTCCAAAATTCTCAATGTGGGGTGCTTGAAGCCCCCACATGAATCAAATAGAAAAATTCGTATATCTGAGAAACTATTAGAGCTAGAATCTTCAAATGTTACGTGAAGAACTTTGAAATTCAATGGGTGGCTTGGCACAACATATATAAATTAAATACAAAATTTCGTGCATCTTGGAAATTCTTCTATTATTCAAATTTTTTATAGATAGATAGTTAGAAATTGGCGATAGATAGAAACTCGCAATAGTTTGCTTGACATCTCTCATATGTAACGTATTATAAATCTGGAAAACTATTGTGGTTAGAATCTTCAAAATCGTTAAGTGGGATTTTTATTTATACATATTCCTTCTAGGGTAGCAAAGCATACTGGGTATAGCTAGTATATTAATAATAAACAATTCTCAATAATTTTAAATTTTATAGATAATTTAATGAAAATAATTTATAATTTGGTTATTTCCCGGCTTATAGCGATTTATTTCAATCGCTATAAACCGTTCCAAACAACCAAGGTTTTTCGCTACATTGACTATACTAAATAGCAACAACATGACAGTGTAGGTTCACCATCTGTTTCTTTTCCACTTGCACAAGGTATTGAAATGTAATTTGTATTTTTTTGTGATAAAATTTTGTTGAAAAACAATATTAAATGAAATTTTAGAATAAATTGATGTTATTATTCAATGATATATCTTTGTAGTAAATATAAACCACGCATCGGCAGAGCGTAAAATTTTCTTTTCACACTAACACTACTTCACTTTGTGTTTTTGCATTTCATGCACTGAAAGAAAAGTTTGTAAAATTTGTTAATGTGTTTGGTGTAGTGACTTCACTACTTTACAAAAAAAACATTAAAATTTCTGGATTTTTATACCCTACACCACTTTAGTGGGGAGGGTATATTGGGTTTGTGCTGATGTTTGTAACGCACAATAATATTGGTCCTATACCCACCTTAAAGTATACCAATCGGCTCAGAATCATTTTCTGAGTCGATTTAGCTATGTCCGTCCGTCTGTCCGTCTGTCCGTCTGTCCGTCCGTCCATGTAAACCTTGTAATCAAACTACAGGTCGCAATTTTGAAGATAATTCAATGAAATTTGGTACATGATCTTCTATTGTGCCAGGGACGAAGCCTATTGAAAATGGTTAAGATCGGTCCATTATTTCACCTAGCCCCCATACAACTGAACCCCCCAAAAGGGCTTGTAATCCTTGTAATCAAACTACAGGTCGCAATTTTTGGAGATAATTCAATGAAATTTGGCACATGATCTTTTATGGTATCGTAAACGAAGCCTATTGAAAATGGTTAACATCGGTCCATTATTTCACCTAGCCCCCATACAACTGAACCCCTCGAATAGGGCTTTTAAAATTTGTAATCAAACTACAGGTCGCAATTTTGGAGATAATTCAATAAAATTTGGCACATGATCTTTTATGGTATCGTAGACGAAGCCTATTGAAAATGGTTAACATCGGTCCATTATTTCACCTAGCCCCCATACAACTGAACCCCCGAATAGGGCTTTTAAAACTTGTAATCAAACTACAGGTCGCAATTTTGGAGATAATTCAATGAAATTTGGCACATGATCTTTTATGGTACCGTAGACGAAGCCTATTGAAAATGGTTACCATCGGTCAATTATTTCACCTAGCCCCCATACAACTGAAACCCCCGAATAGGGCTTTTAAAAGTTGTAATCAAACTACAAGTCACAATTTTGGAGATAATTCAATGAAATTTTGCACATGATCTTTTATGGTACCGTAGACGAAGCCTATTGAAAATGGTTACCATCGGTCCATTATTTCACCTAGCCCCCATACAACTGAACCCCCGAATAGGGCTTTTAAAAGTTGTAATCAAACTGCAGGTCGCAATTTTGGAGATAATTCAATGAAATTTGATATTTTGGTACCGTAGATGAAGTCTGTTGAAAATGGTTTACATCGGTCCATTATTTCACCTAGCCCCCATACAACTGAACCCGCCGAATAGGGCTTTTAAGTTCATAATTATGTTTAATATACTCATATCTCGACAAAAAGCTGCAATAACCAAGTTGTATACAAGACTTGATGACCCCCACGAATTCCATAATAATAGGTTCTCATATGACCCTAGCCCCTATGAAAAGCCCCCATCAAAATTTCACTTAAATGTCCACAATTTTATTCAACAATAAACGGCTTAAGTATGTAAATCTAATGCAAGGTACAATTCAACTTAAATGCTTTATTATGGCAACTAAATCACATTATATTTTTGTCAAAGGTGTAGGGTATTATATAGTCGGCCTCGCCCGGCTATAATTTCTTACTTGTTTATGAATAGGATTGGAAAAAATTTAAACACGACCTATTATTTTTGAACATTGCTCTCGGAAATGCATTTATTTGCAATTTTATATACAAAATGAATCTTAATATATACTCCATGTAAATAAAAGTAAAGAAATAATGTATAAAAATATCCTCCAAGAAGTTTTGCGCTCATATACAGTGCTATAAATGTCAATTAATTCAAAATGATATTTTCTTCAGAATGATAATTTTTCTTCAGATATTTTAAAATTAAAATAAATATTAAATATCAATATCGGGAAACAAGAACTTATCTTTATGTTTAACAACAGAGATTTCTCTATGTGTAACTCCATCAAAAAACTGCCAAGCTCTCATTCTCTTAGTTTGAAAGTTACGTACATGTGTTGGAAAATAAACCAGAGAGCCCGCTGCGCTTGTATGATATAAACAGATATATTTTTGGCTTTTGGTTTGGTTGCGCATTAACTGTTCTTTTTGTTATGTTCCTCTTTGCCTGCAAACAAAATCTTGTTTTTTCACTGTTTTATCCGTCAATTGTTTTAAGAAATTATTTGTTGTAGTGTGAACATCGGGCAAACAAATTTTCACTATTTGTACTGAATAGTGCTTGGTTGGCATGGCTTCTTCAAACAAAACGTCAAAACAGAAATACTAATTTTAAGCACATTATGAAATAAAAACGTATTTATTTTTTTGTTTATAGGTAGAAATTTCTATGAAATTGTAAAAAACTATTGTAATTTAATTAAATAATGTTTTTAACGTTAAACAAAAATGTTTCGTGTTTGGTGTTCACATTGTGTTCATATTGAGAAAATATTTGTAGGTTGACAAATAAAAATGTTTCACGAAAAACAGCTGATATTTTGTTTGCTCTTCAAAAATATTTTGTGTTCACATTACAGCCAACAAATATTTCATAAAAAACGTGAAATATTTCACAGGTGTGAACGTAGCTTTATTATCACATCTTTGTATTACAAACAGATATACATTTTTAATATTTTGCGAATTTTTATATTTTTTAACACAATTTTAATATGAACATGCTAACATAATGGATACAATTTTTAACAATATTTTAGGAAAGGCCCTATGTTATGGTTAAAGAAGACGCAAATTTAACGGGTAATTCCCGTTTTGAAGGATTTTGTATTGACCTGTTGAAGGCGATAGCAGCTCAAGTTGGATTTCACTATAAAATCGAAATGGTACCCGATAATATGTATGGTGTTTATAATCCAGAAACACAGACATGGAATGGCATTGTTCGTGAATTAATGGAAAGAGTAAGAATTTAATACATACAGTCAAACCCGTTTATACACAAAAAAAAAAAAAAAAAAAAAAAAAAAATATATATATATATATATATATATATATATATATATATATATATATATATATATATATATATATATGGAAGGATATTTTCTTAAAATATCCTTCCATTTCCTTAATTCTATGATCTTTAAATTTTATGTTTATATTATTCTTTTTCATAAAACAATAGAATATAATAATCAATGTAGTGACAACTATTATCAATGTTACGTTTATACCATAAGATATCTTTTTATGAAATTTTAGTTCTTCAATTTCTTTAATATTTTGAAAGTGCTCTATAATTATATTATCGAATTTAACATTTATATTTGATATACTTAATTTTTCAAGTTTATTGATGTTTGCATAAAAATATTTTTCTTTGATCATATATGTATTTTATATCAGAAAATGTTTGATTACGAATTGTTATACTGCAATTATTAAAGTTTATAAGATAATTCCCTTCCAATTCAAATTTCCTATCATCACAATTATGCTCAATTTTCTCGGAAAAAGAATTCTTTACAATAATTGTTTCTTCGTCAAGATCAAATACAGAAGTAATATTATTAAATTCAAACTTACAAGTACTGTAATAACTACAATGATTACTTTTTTAAATTTTCTTAAAGGTATATTTTCTTGGTATGTAAAAGTTTTGTTATCAATTTCGATTACGTATTCGTTATTTGCATCTATTTCAAATTTGTTTTTGTTTGAAATAGGAGTAATCATCTTTAAGTCAGTCTTAATGTAATTGTCTGGAATCAATACTGCCATAATCAGTGAGTGATCACTGTAAGACATTATCCCTACTTTCAACATTTTGCTGAAACTATATTATCTCGTATATATTTTATGTTCTAAGGTTTTTAGTTTTGTTAGTTGGTCCAAGTAAATTATTTCATTCACCACCTCATTATTGGTATTCCTGACCTCCTTTAAAAACTCACTTATTTCTTTTGTGACCTCCTTTAAAAACTCACTTATTTCTTTTGTGTCGTTTTCCACTACAGTTTTCAGAGAATGTAATGATTTGTTTAAGGAATTATTTATTATCACTTGTCTATTTAAAGTTTCAATGGAATTGTGTGAATTTTGATCAATGATGGAAAGGTGTTCCAGAATCTCTTGTCTGTCTTCATCGTCCATAGTCCCAAATAGCCATTTGTAGAACCTTCCTCCTGCATTTATAAAACCTCTTCGTTTTCTATTTTTAGTTGGCCTTAAAGATTTTAGATTCTATCAATTTAATTTCGTTTTGTAAAATTATCTCTTCATGTAAAAGCAAATGTTTTATATTTCCCTTTATTTGATTTAATATGTCTTCTATTTCGACTATGTTTATGACATGTACAAGAGTAGTTGTTTTGTTGACAATTTCCACTTCGCCCATTCTAATCTTGATGAATCCCACATTCTCTGTGACTGAATTAACCTGCAGATCCGCTTGGTTGGGTTGAATGCTCACCATTAGCAAGAGCATCATTACAAGCACCTGAAATTTTAAATTGTCTTTTGAGATTCTCAAATCGTTTGGACAAATACTCAAAATCAATATCGTCATCATTATTAGTGTTCATCTTCTCTATACTGTTATGACTATTACAATCGTTAAAACTTGCAAATTTGAACGGCCTTTTAATGTTGGTTTCATGAATATTCTCTAAATTGCGTTTAATGGTTCGTCTTTATGCCTTAGACTTTTATAATTTTTAATGAATCCCGTTTTCCTTCTTTCTGTGTAAAATTCCCTATTGCGGTTGAGTTTCTGGATAATGTAATTTTTTTTACTTTCTAGTCTACTTCTGATAAGTTCATGATTAATGGTACCATTTATTACGTCAAAAGGAGTACATTTTATAGTACTGTGTACTGTGTTATTATAAAATTTTATAGCTTTTGTCATTTGTGTTATGATTGGCAATTTTTCTTCTAGGTTAAGTGTTCAAATTTTTTCAGTCAAGGTATTATTAAGACGTTCTATATCAGAATTTACGGTATGACTATTGGGTTTCGTGGCATGAAATTCGATTCTTTCTTGTGTCAAAAAATCCTTTACGTTTTTTGAATTAAATTTATTGTCAAAACCAAACTTTTTGACTGGGCCTTTTATTGCTAAAAATTCGTTTATTTTGCTTATAATTGTTTGGTTGTTTCTATCTGGCAAATAAAAACCTACGGCATGTTTTGAGAATTTATCAATGAATATTATAAATAAGTGATTACTATTCACATACGTATCAACATGAACGATTTCATTAACTGAAGTTGGCGTTTCTTGATCGGATTGCGATCATACTTCCCTCCGGAGCATATTTCAAAATTATTAATTATCTCATGTATCTTTGTTTTTAGTTGTGGGTTATATATTTTATGCTTTATCCCCTCATAAGTCGGTATAATTCCTGCATGACCCACTTCATTTTTATGAAAAAGTGATATTTGTTTCCTTAGTTCATCTTCGTCTTCAATGTCCTTAGCAAAATAGCTACATTTAACAAAAGATACTCCCTCAATACCAGAATATGTTGTAATTTATTGAATTGGTTATCATTGAGCTCAGAAAATATTGCGATTTTTCCTTTACCAATATGTCTTTGGACTATATTAATAACATTAGTAGTCTCAATATCATGCAAATCGATAAAAAGTCGTTTCTTATTAAAAATTATTTCCATTTCAGTTTCCTTAGTTTCTGTTAAAATTATTTGGTATTTAAAACGATTTACAATTGTATCAAGAATGGGAATGTGATCATTAAAATCTTCTTCTTTTGAATGTATAGTTTCACCGTTATCTGACTGATTTTCTCCTTGAGAATGATCCGCATGTACCACTAAAGATGCATTTGATTGTTCCCTGTTCTCTCCTACATTAATATTTTTGATCCTAAAAAATCGTCTAAAGTGAATTCTAAATCTTTTCCTGGAATATAATCAATTTTCGCATCGTATTCTCCTAACTGCACTAACCATCGTTGCAATCGGGGATTAATATCTTTACCCGAATATTTTGCCTGTAACCACTTTAGTGGCTGATTATCTGTTTGCAGATCAAATTCTCTTCCAAAAATATAAGGTCTATAAAATTTTAACCCCCCACACTATCGCTAATAATTCTTTTTCGATAGTGGAGTAGTTTTGTTCATGATTGTTCAATGTTCGCGAAGCAAAGGAAATCGGATGACCTTCCTGGGTTAAAACTGCACCAATCGAGTAATTACTTGTGTCTGTGATTAGCTTAAAGCGCTTTTTAAAATCGGGGTACCTCAGAATAGGAGGATTTGTTATAATTTCCTTTAATTTTTCAAAAGCTACAATATAATTGGGGTCTCTTACATTAATTCTTGCATTTTTCTTTAAATATTTTATTATTGGGAAAGCTATTTAAGAATAGTCTTTTATGAATTTTCGAAAAAATCCAGTAATACCCAAAAATGACTTTATTTGTTTTTGCGTCGTCGGAAGTTTTTACTTCTGAATAATTTCAATTTTTTTGGGGTTTGCCCTTAGAAGTAAGGATGTGACCCAAAAATTCAGTTTCTTTTTTTTAAAAACTACATTTATCAATTTGAATTTTAAGTCCTGATTCCTTTAGTTTTTCAAATATCAATTTTATATTTGCTATATGTTCAGTTAATGAAGTGCTAAATATTAGTATGTCGTCTAAATACACGACACAAATTTTGTTTATATATTGGCGGAGAACAAAATTCATAAGACGTTGAAAAGTCGCCGGAGCATTTTTAAGCCCAAATGCCATTCTTATGAATTCATAATGCCCAAAAGGTGTGGAAAATGTGGTTTTCTTTATATCATTTTAATACATTAATATTTGGTGAAAACCTTTTGCAAGGTCTATAGAAGAAAAATATTGAGCTTTTCCTAATTTGTCCATAATTCCATCGATATTTGGAATTGGAAATTTGTCACTTATTGTATTTTCATTTAGTCTTCTGCAATCTATGACAATTCGCCATTTTTGTATTCCCGAACTGTCAATTTTCTTAGGCACCACCCACAAAGGACTATTGTATTGTGAATTGCTTTCTCCAATTATATTTTGTTCTAACATCTCTTCTATCTGTTTCTGAATCTCAATTTCATGAGTTTGTGGGTATCTATATATTTTTGAATATATTGGTCGGTCAGTGTTTGTTTTTATTTCATGTTCAATTTCGTGAGTGGCAGAAAGTTTAGCCCAGTGATGCCAGGAGATTTTTTTCAGAAATCCCTACGCTTATGAGAAAAAATCCCTTTTTTCCCTACACCCACTTTTTATTTTCCCTACATTTTTCCCTACAATACTATTTTCCAAGTTTATCTTAAAAAAATACAAAAATAACATAAAAAACTAAAATATTAGCTCCGTTTTATAATATACATATATACATATATATGTATTTTTTTTTTTAATTTTTAGGAATGAAATTTCTAGAATTTAAATTTTTTTTCTTTTAATTTTACATAATAGAAATCTTTCAAGCCTGACTCTTCAGTTAAGATTAAAAAAAACAACACAATTGAAAGATTTATGGCAGTATCACGATTCGATATTAAAAATTTATTTTATGTTTTTTAAGGTTTACTTTCGCGTTTACTTTTGCGGTTTACTTTTATAAATTTTCAGAACATTAAATCTAAATGAAAGATTTTAGTATGTCGCATGTTTTGTAGACCTCAGTTCAAGAAACCCGAATTTTGGATTATCCCAGTCTTGTAGCGATATGTAGGTACATATATTGTAGAAATTACAAGCGGAATTTTTACTAACGATACACTTAAACCTGATTTCATTTTTAATTTTAAAGTTTAATACATGAAAGGGTATATTTTTAGTTGTTAAAAACTATGAAATTGAAAAATCCCTACAATTTGACAATAGTAAGAAATCTTTCCCTTTTTCCCTACACGTGAAATTTTTGAAAAAAATCCCTACAAAAAGGGAAAAATCCCTA